TGTATGTGTGTGTGTGTGTGTGTGTGTGTGTGTGTGTGTGTGTGTGTGTGTGTGTGTGTGTGTGTGTGTGGGATGTTCTATTTTTTCTAATGCAAAGACCATCTCTAAGTGTACTATCATGGATGCACAGTATATCGGCACCATAATGGTTATCAGCCAATATTACAATATTTATATATATTTGAAAATAAGGTGGATCACGTTTTATTATTTGCCCTTCATCAGCCATAACATTATCAGCTTATTGTATCATATTGTGCATCCCTATTAGATATACTTTAATACATCCAAATGTTATAGAATTACAGTTCTGAACTGCTCAGACTTAGTGTGCTCCATCATCAGAGATTTTGGAAAAGTGTTCCCAGATCCCCAAATCCCAGTCGATGGCCCTGCACTTATTTTACTGTGTTATTAACTCTGGTGATATGTGTTTGTATCCCAGGAGAACTTGTGGCTGGACAGTGTATCTCTGCTTATCAAAGATTCATTTGAAGGGGAGATGCTGATGATTGACAACCTCTCTGGCTCCGTCTTCCATCATTACTCCTCCCCACCCATCTGCAAGGACTGCAGGACTCATCCGCAAGAGGTACACTGGAGCTTAAGTCTTGAGTTTAAGAACTCTAACCTTAAAAACTAACCTACATCCAAATCTTCACAATTGAATAGAGAATGGCTTTTAAATTCAGTTTTAACTTAGCAAACATGATGCAATTTGAATTTAGAGATATACAATTCAAATGAATTGGAATTTTTAAAAAAAATCAAATGACTACATTTTATCTTGAAAGCAGTTTAAAAAGCATTGAAGTTTGAAAATGTATAAGCCTTACAGATAGATAGGTAAATAGATGATAGCTGAATTTTATGGTTATGATTTTTATTTTAAATTAATGGTTATTTAAATGTTTAAATAATCCTGATTTCTGAAGGATCATGTGACTGGAGTAATGACTGCTGAAATTTCAACTTTGCATCACAGGAATAAATTACATTTTCAAATATATTGCAATAATAGATAGATAGATGTTATTTTACTATAGCACAACATTTAATATACACACACAAAATCTCTCAATGCTTGTGTTCCATCACAGTGACGGACAGGACAGGGGTAGTTCAGGAAAGAAGTAATTCAAGCCGTAACCTCCACACCTGTCATCCCGCCATTCTGCCAGGCTGCCAACAATGTCAGTCCATCAGTCTGTTTCCACTCCCCTGTCTCTGCTCTCCATACATCTCTGATTTGCAAGCTTTTCTCTCCCACTCACTCTGTTTGACTCTAAACATCTCTCTTCTTGAATTACCCAAATTTCTTCTTTGGAAAGTCATCATCACGTTGTCAGACATAAACCATGCTGTCCATAACAATTCAAGTCTCTTTTGACAGTTTTATCACTCAAACTACGTTCAACACTGTGCAAACTCCACAAAACCGTTAAACTGGCATATAGTAAAAGTCTGCAGAAATTCAAATACTGGGGAAGGATTCCAATGATTAAAAGCCCTCTCAATTCTCACTGCTATAAATTCTTGCCCACAGCAGATCCACATGGCTGAACTGGAGCAGGCATCTCTGAGGTCGGAGCAGCTCTCGGATAAGTCATCCTCACCAGCGCTGCCTGATGACCTCAGCCTGGACGAGCAGAGCGTGTACCAGATGGCTGCCAAAGAGGGCAAGGTGAACTTTCTCTCAGAAAAATTACTTTGTCGTTTTTGAATTCTTCACCCCCACAATTATCTTAGTATCTACACTCTGAAATGTTCAAATCTAATTAAAAGGTATGCACTCATCAGGATTCATGCTAATATCTGTATTTATTATCGATGATTATTGATAATTGCTTTCATGCTACGGCCAATAACTATCAGTAACAGTAACAGATGAAAACTCTGCCCAATGGAAATGATCTACCTCTATCTGATATACAAACTGCTGTAATCCCTTACATCTCAAACGATGATCCTTTAATTAAATATAATCAGTGAGAATGACCACAGACTCGCACTAATTAGACTTAAGAAATCAAATAACTATAAGCTGTTAGTCTAAATCTTGCAGTCTCATGGGGAATGTAGCTCTGCTGTTCAACCAGTGTAATTCTTTAACAGACTTTAAACATCTCTAGCTATTTGTTAGAGAAACTCCATAAAGGACATTATGTGGGGCAGATGGCTCAGATGATCTAGCAGAGCTTAATCGTTCCTTAATCTCTTTTATTGTTATAGAGGGAAGCCCTGAATGCAGAGAACCTAAAAGAGTTAGGTTTACCATGAAAGTAAGATGTTAGTGTTTAAGAGACCTGAAAGTCTCCCCAGGATCCTGAAAGCGCATGCTAATGTTTCTGCTCAGGAAAGGGGCTGTGATGAGTGCCTAAACACTGAAGAACCTGGAGGGAGAGGTCACAGCAGGTTACGGCGACCCTCTCGGGTTCACAGCTCTGGGACAGAAGAGGGGGTGGCAATGAATGGAGCCAGTTCTCAAAGTCCACATCACAACACACCTGCTCGTCACAGCATAGGTAATGTGGCACACAGTCCACAGTGCTACAGGAATGAGACTGGAGAACAAAGCAAGAAAACCGTTATGCACAATAGTTGCGTAAAGTTCAGAATTGAAAAACTGTGTCCCTTTCCAAATAAGATTTTGAATTGAACACTAGAAAAACAGTTGACCTAACTTAAAAAAGGGATTACATTAAATTTGTTGCGTTAACTCAACTAACAACTGAAAACTTTGAAAAGATTGTTTGGCATTTACCAATGCAGTGAGCTACAAACCTTGTTCTTTTATCATTATATTGACATGACATGGGACTCTTAAAACTAGAGGCAAACATATTACACATCGCTCTAACGTCAACAAATTAAATTACCATCAGCATAAATTAAGCTAGTAAAATGAATTAAATTAGATATTAAATTTAATTAACAAAGTAAAATAAATTAAGCCAATGGCATTTTTTAATAATAGTTACCATGTAATTATTTCAATTTGCTGGGAACTTGCAAATCATTTTTCTTTGTGACTCAATTTGGAAAGTTGAGACAAAGTTGGGACAACATTTGAACAGGTTTTGAACAAATACTTGAGTATCTAAACATGTTGCCAACAACTTTTTTTAGCAGCATGTCCTTAAACTCAAATCTGCATCCTCTTTGCCACCTCAGTTTAAATTCAATTCAAATCGAGTAACTGAGTTTGTGTGCAGGTGGAGTTCCCAGCAGTAATCAGGAGTACCCAGGGGTTTCTGGAGCTTCGAGCCGCTCTACCACTCCCATCCATCTCCCTGCTGAATTCTTCCACCCAGCTGCTGCGGCCCTCCCGGCACCCCCGAGAGGCCGACCGGGACACAAACCAAGAGGGCTCCGGCTAACATCCCCAGCCTCATGGACATCTCTACGCTCTCCTGGAGCAAACACCAGGCTGCTCACCACACAGGTTTGATTTACACGCGTTTACAACTTATGCATTGTGTCATTATCAATTCATTGCTAAAAACTCGACCTCTCTGCCCTCAGTATCCATCTCACAGTGACTCCTCCCTGGCTACGGGCAGCTCAGAGAGCAGCCTACCAACCACCATGGAAGAAGGGCTCAGTTTCACCACCCAGCCACTGCTGGACACACTCCTTGACGATCGCTCCAGCCTCTCCACAAAGACCCTGAGACCCAGCCCTCCAGCCACCCAGAACGTCCAAACTATAAGGGGGCACCAGCGCAGCAAGAGCAGTTGTGAAAGGGACATTAATGCAGGAAGAACTCGGCAAGACTCCGATGAGGATGTAGGGATGGTACGGTGCGGTTCTAACCAGACGTGCGACAGCCAGCAGCTCTCAGAGACACCGAGCAGCCTGTCGCTCACATCGCTGCTTCTGCCGAGCTCTCTAGCGCCCCTGTTTGTGAAAAAGTGCAACAGCACAGGTAGCTTAGACCAGGGGACTTTCACAACCCAAGAAAATGTGTTCATAAAAGAGCCACAGGGTAAAATCACCAGCTCCTGGAAAGAAAGGAAAGAAGGAAGAAGAGAGAGTCAGTCGGAGGCAGCACAAGGAAAAGACAGGGAAAGTACAAGCCAAATAACAATTGTGGGCTCCAGAAGAAATAGATGAAACTTTACCTAGTGTTAGTTATTGCTAAGGCCCAATACTCAATCTCTGTTTTTTTTTTCAGGGAGCAGTTTGACATGTGGCATTCCATCTTAAAGTCTTTCTCTCTCTATCTCCCTGTTTTCATTTGAGACCTGTTACCATTTTGTATTTGCTTGTGGTAAACGTCCGACAGGACTGTAGAGAAACTGGAGAGAGAGACCTGAGAGCAGTTTGGCCCCTTAGAGCATGACTAGACAGAAGGGGACTGTTCAGACAGCTGCCTGAACAATCAGGTCAGGAGACGACATACAGTACAGGAAAAGCTTTCCATATGCTGGAATGCTGGGAGTTTTCTTAAATGTTAGTTAAAAAGGGGAAAAAAAAGATAAACCCAAAAGTATATATAGAGGAACTGAAAAGATAAAGAGATACAGAAAAAAATACAGTAAAGGAGATTTCTTCTCTAAAAGAGGGCATGTTGTGTTTAATGATTTAATGCAGTTACATTACAAGGAAGAGTTTAGGATTTTAACTCTTTCAGTATACACATACTTTTTTACAGGTTTTTTCATTCTCTTGTCATTTTGTTTGTTTGTATTTGTGTGTTTCTACATCATTGAGGAGAGAGAACAGTGTTCCTCATTCAACCTGAAGCAAAGCATTCATTTAGAGAGTGTCCAAACTTAATGAGAGGAAGTCAGACATCCATCTATCCATCTGTCTGTCATTATGTTTGTAATTTTATTTATTTATTCATTCAGAGTTATATATTTATTTATTCAGGTTTATTTAAATTATTGTTTATATATTTAATTAAAGGGCAAATGTAGAAATATGTAATCTACCTTTTGCATTAGGAGATGAAAAAAATACATATGGACACAAGGACAAAGAACAGTCCTCTGCATGATGGAGTCTCTTTACAACATAACAACTACTGAAGATGTCAATGCTGAAAGAAAGCAGTGAGGTTTTTACTCAGATATTTTTTTATTGATATGCTCTGGATCAAGGAATAGGTGACGCACATTGTTGTGGTCACTTTTCTCCTCCCCACAACCCAAAACATTTCTCTATGTGACTTTATTCCCTGGAAGTGGCTTCCATTTTTATAATTTTAGTTAGGTGGAGGGGACTTTTTGTATGCTGGGGTAAAAAGAAACAAACACACACACACACAAAAAGGAAGAAAAATGGGAAAAAAAAAAAAAACATCCTAAGGATTTTAGACTGTGGATTACATGAACTCTTGGATATAGAATACAGCCAGAGACAAAGGATGATAAACAGGCCATGGGATTTAAATGCTTTTTCAAGAACCCTGGAGCCTCTGCTTTATTTTGGTCCTCGGATGGCATGTCAGATGAGAAAAACACAAGATGGTGATATTTAGCTTTCATTTTGACAAAACTAGGTTGATTGGATTTGCAACTGGATCAATTATTTATACATCAATTTTCTTAAGCATGGTTACTGGACTGCAATAGGACACCTCTGATTTATTATTCCTCCTCTTTGAAAAAATGCACTGGTTTGCTCTTTATTTCATTTAACTTAGACTTGGTCACTGTATTCATGTGCAAATGGAGCAACTCTAGATATGACACTGCAAATATCTCCAGATATCTTAGTTTAGTCTGCTGTAGTGTTTAGCACCCCTGATGTTTTTTGGTTTTTTTTGTTTTTTCTTTTAGAATTTTCAGGTGAATATCACATGTAGACTTGACCTGTTGATGAACTTCATTGTCATTTGATTGGTAGTGACTCTCCATCTGTGACATCGGCGTCTCTATACATTACATCAGTTGTGTTGTGGTTTAGTCTTGACCCAAGATTGTCATTTTATTCTTGCCTGTTTCATTCATAGAGCCACCGTTTTGAAATGAGAAGCACTGAAGTATTAAAGTTTAATCAGCAAAACACAATAACAAAGGGCTTACTTGGTTTCCAAGGTGTTCTTAGATCTCACAAGACTTTTTGCTAATAGTGTGCAAGACTTCAAAGGTTAGTCTGACACTACAGCAATAAAGAGTAGCTTCATAATGATGTCTTTTTTTTTTCTTTTCAAGTAGATTATTTGCTCTTGTTTACTAAGTAACAATACCTGCACGACTTGAGGGCTGATCAGATGGGCTATATAGATGGGCTAATAGATGGGCTGCCAATGGTTCAGATGAACAAATGAAGTCATTTTGAACTCAGGGCCTTGGTAAATACCACTACTGAACGCTCTGTTTCCTCAGGGAGACAGATGGCCGGAAAAAGGAGGACTGTATGTTAAATGTTAATGTTCATTTGATTTGACTTTACATTTAATGCTCTAATAAGCTTGCATCAGTGCACCGCCATTATAGCAGAATATGAGTGAAGGCCAGTTTTATTAAAGTAACAGGTAAACTGAAAGCTAATTCATAGCCATTGTTGTATAGTTTGAAAGTGTATGTAGCTTAAAGAAAAATCTGACAATGCATTTAAGGACGGATGCATATATTTTGTGTATGTAAGTGTGGTGTTAAATGGTCTAGAGTGATGGGTGAGATTTTATGCAAAACCCGATGTGTCTTGTCACTGGGTTGAACATATGTACATATCCTTTTATATAATCAAATTGCATGTGTGCTATGACCAATGACAATGATACATGCATTTTAGAGTGGTTGAGGCTTAGGGTTTATTATTTTTCCCCCTCGCCCTGAGGTCTTCCTGAAACTGTATTAATGTAAACATTTCCTTTTGGTTTATTGATGAGACTATATTTCCCATCAGACAGCTGTGGTCATGTGCAATTTAGGTTTGAACTGTCCTCAGTGCTAGCTTAGATCCCTTATTGCACAGTTCTGGTCCTCGTATCTGATTGGCTGTGCAGCATTCAATGAATGCTGATATATCGCCTTTAGGACTACATTTTCACTGTTGGAATGACTCAGATTGTCCGTGTTTTGTGGTGTTCCAGACCAGAGTATGTGAGCGGTGTGGAGTGGAAGTGGGATTGTTTTGTTTTGTGTGAGCAGGGAGAGGGAAATGCAAAAAAATAAAAAATAAAAAATACACCTGAAGTGGAGCTTAAAAACCTGGCTTGATTACAGTGTGCTCTTCGCGGTCACTCCATTATACTCACATCCTCTCTTCTGTTGTATGTATGTTTGTTTGCAACACACAATGCTTGATGACTGGGCTTTTTTAGAAGTGTTTTATAACAAAAAAAAATATTGAAAGTCGAGTCCTTGATTTTTAAAGGGATATTTCACCCAAAAATGAAAATTCTGTCATCAGTTACTTCTTATTTTAAATCTTGTATGACTTGCTTTCTCATGTGAAATGCAAAAGAAGATATTTTGAAAATATCTCTTTCATTGTCCATACAGTGAAACTCAATGGGGACAGAGTTTGGACAGAGTTCAACAGTCTGTCTCCGGAAGTAAAAATCCCATTCATTATCTCCATAGAGGAAATGGATTTTTAATGATAAATTATAAACCTTTTAAAACAGACAGGCCTACTGTGATCTGCGAGTTTAATCAATGGTATATGCTTTTGTTGAAGCTTTCAGTTAGTGTCATTTCAACTTATTTGTTTAATAATCATGTTTAACAGCAGAATTTGTGATGGAAAAACTGTATTATCCATGATTCTGAAAAGAGAGTCCCCCCACTCTCATTAAGTAATTTGAATGGTGTAATAGTCTCTACACTCTCAAACTACTTTAATATTGTATATGCATGTATATTTTGCATGCATGTATAGTTTCTATATACAATCAACACATACAAGTCAATAGATTTATATTTATCTGTTGTTTTTAATTCAGTCATGTCATTCACAATGCTTTATGGGATTGTAGTTATTTTCCTTACTAAAGTCCTTACACCTTTGTCTTTTTGTCCGATTGTCTAATTGCTTCAAAATAAAGTTGTCATGTTGTGATTTACCTCATAGCTGATTGTTTTGGTTCATGGCTTATAACTCTTTACTAGAGATGTTGTAAAAATCCTTATGGAAAAATGAATGGGAAAAATACTTCCAGAACCAAGGCTGCTGAAAAAGTGAGTAGACGTTGCACTCTGTTGACTCTTAAATTACCTTGTTTTGTGAATGACCTTTTTTTGGTCAACTATGCCTTTAATTTCTTGCGCTGATATTCAGTGCAGCATGCTTATGTGATATTGCTTAATTTGGATATTTATAAGTAAAATACATTGATTTGCCCCTCTAAAAGAAGCAATAAACTCCATGTAGCATATTCCTTGAGAAAATGAAGATGGGTGGAAAAAGACAGGAGAGGATCTGACAGTAGACACGCTATAGTGCTTTGGCATGCTTGTGTGGTCGGTCAAAAAGCTCTGAAGCGGAAACTCATGGGAGAAGTGTTGTTTCTCCACACCTAAACCCATCTCTCCCCTCCAGCTATCTGTCCTTTAAATGTCAGCTGCTCTGCTGTTCCAAGTCCTGACCACACGCTTGCAGGGCCATGGTGTCGCCAGCCTCAGGAATCTTGGGATGCGGCCTTTCACACCACTGTACAAATCAAGTCAAAATCATTTATTTTATCATGTGAAGTCAAAATATTTCATTTTATCATGTGAAATGAAGGGATGATCTTTGGCTGAGTACTAAATTGCCCTCTGAAAGAGTAGCGTTTCTGTAGCTGCAGTTTTTGTCTTATATGTTAGTACCTGGGAAGTTCTGGAGGTCGTATGCTTTATATTTGACACGTATGCGCTCTTATCTAATCATTACAGCTTTGGAGAGTGTCGGTTAGATGTATGGAGAACCTCTGACATCAGTGTTTTACCTAGAGCTTGAGTAATTACTCTCCCCGTCTGACTGGAATAAAGGTGATCATCCCACTTAATGACAAAAAATGATCTTCAGTAATGACCAGGGCACCTCTAAGAGGACAATGAGATGGATACCCTTGTAGTGCATTGCATGGCCTTAAATGTGTCATTATTCTGTACCTTCCCGTTTTTTTAAATGAAAAGAAAGAAAGATGAAATGGTTAAAGTTACTTCTAGGTGTTGTAAATTTGGACTAAATTGCAGCTTGTTGTGAAATCTCAAGTGTAGCTCTGAGTAGGTGTGTTTGATTCTCTCTCTTTTCCCTCTCTCATTTGGTTTGTTTGGCAATCACTAAATCAAGACACTGGCTCTCCATCATCACAGAGCAGAGCGCTTCACACACCTGAAATATGATACCCTATACACAAATACACACAAACAACAGTTTCATCAAGGTGACACAAAGTAAATTCTGCTCGGATTTGGTTACTTAAACTCCACCGCATTTGGTGCCGATAACAAAAAAAAATGAGGAGCAAAAGAGATAAAAGACAAAAACACCATAAACATCCTGTGACAACAGGAACAAAGGCTGAGAGTTATCTGATGTGCCTGTCAATCTGCTCTATTAGAAGCAATACTGATACCTGCGCTCTACAGCAGTGCCTCTCAACTGGTGGCCTGCAGTTATGACCCTATATGCTAACTGCAAATAATAACATACAATATATATATTCTAGTTAGAACTGTAAAAAAGAGGCTTTTTAAAGGACGATATAAATAGTTTGCATATATTTTGTTGTTGACCTCAAAGCATGTGTATTCATATCAGCATCTTGGTAGAAGGAAGCTGATGCTGGTAGCCATGAGGATTTCAAGATCAGAAACAAAGATTGTCAGTTTTCTATGCTCATTTA